CAATACGGTGGGAGGAGAATGGTGGCGAGTCAGGTGAGGTGAGGTGAGGGAGGAAGTGATAGCCAGTGGCGGGCTGCCGCTGCCACTCAGCATACCAACTTAGTGGTTCGTTATGGTGAACACAAATGCAAATACTTATATATAATATCTGTATATAGGGTAATAACACCAAACAGTATTGTTGGGGGGAGAAATTTTAGTGCATCTGACCTTGAATGCGTGAGGGAAGCAGCCGCCAGCTGACTGTATGTAGCGACATCTCTTAGCGCCTGAACTAACTATATCAGCTTAGTTGTACAGTTGTGGTGAAGAAAAAATGTAGATACTTACATAAACGTCTGTATATAGTGAATAAAAGCAAAAACAGTATGGTGGGAGGAGAATGTGGGCGAGTGAGGTGTTGAGGGAGTGACAGCGAGTGACTGGCTGTTGTGTGGCAGTCACACCTCGCTGCTTTTTGACTCATTATACCAACTTAGTGATTCGTTATGGTGAACAAAACATGCAGATACTTGTACGTAACCTGTGTATATAGTGTAAAAACCGACAAAGTATTTGTTCATTGTTTGACGAACATAATTGAATCAACAATATGCACACCATAATTTTGTGTACAGCAATGATTCATACATTTATTATATAAATATATCACACTACACACAATTGAATAACATTACAGCAAAAAAAAAAAAAAAAAAAAAAAAAAAAAAAAAAAAAAAAAAAAAAAAAAAAATCCAAGACGTTAAAATAATTAGGTAATTAATTATCTCTGTGGCTGCTCCTGCCTGACTGCTGGGGCGGAGCAGAACATTTGGGACGCATGATGAGTCGGCGCCTGTTTTTTTGCCAGACTTCCCCGCCCTATAGCGGGCAAAATATGCCACTTATGATTTTTTTATTAATTTTCCCATGATCAGAGAACACAAATTAACAGGTTTAGAAGAATTTTTTTTTTTTTTTTGGTTATGCACGCCTGTAGGTGACAATTGCCAAATAGCCCTGAGCAACACAAGGGTTAAACTAACTAAACAAAGATGCCGAAGACATGTAAGAAAAATCACTTTCGCAAACAGAGTGGTAGGCGGTTGGAACAATTTAAGTGTGGTGGTGGTGGAGGCCAAAACCGTCAGTAGTTTCAAAGCGTTACATGACAGAGTGCTGGGTAGACGGGACACCACGAGCGTAGCTCTCATACTTTAACTACATTTAGGTAATTACACTTGGGTAATTACACGAGGCAAAAGACGCAAAAAAATCCATGGTTTAATATTGCATATATGGAAGCAAAGGAAATGAGCAAAAGGGCATATAGGAACTTCCAAAATAACAGGACACCAGAAAGCAGAGAGATACCAGAGAACCAGGAATGAGTATGTTAGTGTGAGAAGAGAAGCAAAGAAAAATTATGAAAATGATATAGCACGCAAAGCCAAGACCGAACCAAAGCTACTCCATAGTCACATCAGGAGGAAAACAACAGTGAAAGAGCAGGTAATGACACTTAGAACAGGCAAGGACTGGTATACAGAGGATGACAAAGAGGTGTGTGAAGAACAAGAGATTCCAGGAGGCCTTCACAATTGAACAATGTGAGGTTACTGCACTAGGAGAGGGGGAAGTAAACCAGGGGGCCTTGGAAGGGTTCAAAATTACAAGAGATGAGGTCAAGAGACACCTGTTGGATCTGGACGTGAGAAAGGCTGTTGGTCCAGATGGGATTTTACCATGAGTATTGAAAGAGTGTGCAGAGGCACTTTGCTTGCCACTCTCCAGAGTGTACAGGTCACTGGAGACAGGAGACCTACCGGAAATATGGAAGATGGCTAATGTGGTCCCAATATATAAAAAGGGTGACCGACAAGAGGGACTGAACTACAGGCCAGTGTCCTCGACTTGTATACCATACAAGGTGATGGAGAAGATCGTGAGAAAAAAACCTAGTAACACATCTGGAGAGAAGGGACTGTGACAAATCGCAAACATGGGTTCAGGGAGGGTAAATCTTGCCTTACAGGCTTAATAGAGTTCTATGACCAGGTAACAAAGATTAAGCAAGAAAGAGAAGGAACTGGGTGGACTGCATTTTCTTGGACTGTCGGAAAGCCTTTGACACAGTACCCCATAAGAGGCTGGTGCATAAGCTGGAGAGATAAGCAGGAGTGACTGGTAAGGTGCTCCAGTGGATAAGGGAGTACCTAAGTAATAGGAAGCAGAGAGTTACAGTGAGGGGCGAGAACTCAGATTGGCGTGAAGTCACCAGTGGAGTCCCACAGGGCTCTGCAACCCATTCTCGCACTTTCATATAGTCAATATTGACTTATTAAATACGTGCATATGACACATACTAAACATACTAGTTTACCTTGAAAAGCTTCATAGAAAACACCAACCTTACCTAACCTTCTTAGTATGTTAAGATAAGCATCTTATTGCTTCGTTATTACACACCTTACTTAACCTATTATAGGTATAGGTTAAGTAATTGTAAAATTGTTACATATGCACGTATTTAATAAGTCAATATTGACTAACAAAGTGCGAGAACGGGTTGGGCTCTGTACTCGGTCCTATCCTGCTTCAGAAATACATAAATGATCTCCTGGAGGGTATAAACTCATTCCTCTCAATGTTTGCTGATGCTAAAATTATGAGAAGGATTAAAACAGAGGACAGCTTGAGGCTTCAAGAAGACCTAGACAAACTGAAGGAACGGTCAAACAGGTGGTTGTTAGAGTTTAACTCGAGCAAATGTAATGAAGATGGGTGTAGGGAGCAGGAGACCAGATACAAGGTATCATTTGGGAGATGAAATTCTTCAAGAGTCAGAGAGAGAGAGAGACAGACAGACTTGGGGGTTGATATCACGCCAGACCAGTCCCCTGAAGCCCATATCAAGAGGATAACATCAGCGGCATACGCCAGATTGGCCAACATAATAACAGCATTTAGAAACTAATGTAAGGAATCATTCAGCACTTTGTATACCACATATGTCAGACCAATCTTTGAGCATGAAGCTCCAGCATGGAGTCCATATCTAGTCAAGCATAAGACTAAATTGGAGAAGGTTCAAAGGTTTGCCACAAGACTAGTACCCGAGCTGAGAGGTATGAGCTACGAGGAGAGACTATGGGAGTCAAACCTCACGTCGCTGGAAGACAAGAGTTAGAGGGGACATGATCACCACATACAAGATTCTCAAAGAAATTGATAGGGTAGATAAGGACATACTATTTAACCCAAATGGCACATGCATTAGGGAGGACAGGTGGAAACTGAGTGCCCAAATGAGCCACAGAGATATTAGAAAGAACTTTTTTAGTGTCAGTATGGTTGACAAATGGAATGAATTAGGCAGTGATGTGGTGGAGGCTGACTCCATACACAGTTTCAAGTGTAGATATGACAGAGCCCAGTAGGCTCAGGACCCTGTACACCAGTTGATTGACAGTTGAGAGGCGGGACCAAAAAGCAAGAGCTCAACCCCCGCAAGCACAAATAGGCGAGTACACACACCACCACTCATTCCAAACACGCACACCCCCCCCACTAATCATTCCACACCCTCCCCCTCCTCACCACTCTTCCCCCACATGGCATTCCCCCCACCACTCTTCCCCACATGGCACTACTCCACCATTATTCCCTGCTTGATACCTGCTTGATGGGGTTCTAGGAGTTGTTCTACTCCCCAAGCCCGGCCCGAGGCCAGGCTTGACTTGTGAGAGTTTGATCCACTAGGCTGTTGCTTGGAGCGGCCCGCAAGCCCACATACCCACCACAGCCCGGTTGGTCAGGCACACCTTTAAGAAAATCTAGTTCTCACTTGAAGATGTCCACGGTTGTTCCGGCAATATTTCTGATGCTCGCTGGTAGGACGTCAAACAACCGCGGACCTCTGATGTTTATACAGTGTTCTCTGTGCCTATGGCACCTCTGCTCTTCACTGGTTCTATTCTGCATTTTCTTCCAAATCGTTCACTCCAGTATGTTGTTATTTTACTGTGTAGATTTGAGACCTGGTCCTCCAGTATTTTCCATGTGTATATTATTTGGTATCTCTCTCGTCTCCTTTCTAGTGAGTACATTTGGAGAGCTTTGAGACAATCCCAATAATTTATATGCTTTATCTCGTCTATGAGTATGTATGTGTTCTCTGTATTCCCTCTATTTCAGCAATCTCTCCTGCTCTGAAGGGGAAAGTAAGTACTGAGCAGTACTCAAGACGGGATAAGTGATTTGTAGAGTACAACCAGTGCGATGGGATCTCTGGACTTGAAGGTTCTCGTACTCCATCCTATCATTTTTCTGGCTGACGCAATGCTTGCTTGGTTATGCTCCCTAAACGTTAGGTCGTCGGACATCATTCCCAAATCCTCAACATGCTGTTTTCCTACTATGGGTAGATTCGATTGTGTTTTGTACCCTGTATTCCAGGTACACTGTATAGGGATTTCAGATCCTCATTTTTGCCGTATCTGAGTACTGTACCTGGAATTTATCACCGTTAAACATCATATTTTCTGCTGCCCAATCGAAAACTTTTATATTGTCTGTCTGTGTAGTTTTTTAATGTCTTCAGCAGAGGTAATTTTCATGCTGATTTTTGTATCATCTGCAAAGGATGACACGAAGCTGTGACTTGTATTTTTGTCTATCTGATATGAGAATAAGGAACAGCAATGGTGCAAGGAGTGTACCTTGAGGTACAGAGCATTTAACTGGCACTTCCACACATGGCACTCCATCACTACTCCCTGCATGGCACTACTCCAACACTGTTCCCTACATGGCACTCACCCACATGGAACTCCCCACATGGCACCCCCTATGGCACTCCCCCACCACTGTTCCTTACATAGCACTCACCCCACATGGCACCCCCCTATGGCACTCCCCCACCACCATTCCTTACATGGCACTCCCCCCCCACATTGGAACTCCCCACATAGCACTCCCCCACTACTGTTCCTTACATGGCACTCCCCACATGCCATTACCTGAGTCGCTGAAACTGTGGGGTATCGATGATCCTGACACACAGTGGAGGGAGAGTGATTGCACCATGGACTGCATCGTTGAATACTTTGCCTTCTACTTCCACATTACAGCTCGGCCAAGTACTGCTTCCATACACTCCCTCCATCTTGTCTGTAAAGAATAATTAACTTTCATTATGGGGAATGCTACCAGCTATAAATTTGTCATTGACATGGCACCGAGTGGAATGAAACACTCCTTTCCAAGTGGCCTCTTGATTGCCATCACATCACTGCTGGAACACAATTTGGTCTACTTTCAACCCAACAAGAATACGTAACTTTTTCAAAGGATCTTGTTTCCACTGAGCACAAGATATGTAAATAATGAACCAGTAACTAATCTATAGATGGTGCATATGCAACCCGTTCTCGCAAATTTAATAAGTCAATATTGACTTATTAAATATGTGCATAGGTGACATACTTAACATAATAGTTTCCCTTGAAAAGCTTCATAGAAAACACCGACCTTACCTAACCTACATAGTATGTTAAAATAAGCATCTTATAGCTTCGTAATTACAATTGTTACTTAACCTATTATAGGTATAGGTTAGGTAATAATTGTAATTACGAAGCAATAAGATGCTTATCTTAACATACTAAGTAGGTTAGGTAAGGTCGGTATGTTAAGATAAGCATCTTATTGCTTCGTAATTACAATTATTACCTAACATATACCTATAATAGGTTAAGTAACAATTGTAATTACGAAGCTATAAGATGCTTATTTTAACATACTATGTAGGTTAGGTAAGGTCGGTGTTTTCTATGAAGCTTTTCAAGGGAAACTATTATGTTTAGTATGTCACCTATGCACGCAACTAATAAGTCAATATTGACTTATTAAATTTGCGAGAACGGGTTGGCATATGAGATACATATAATCGAATGGGGTGTTGCTATAGATGCTTTTAAGTAAGGACTGGCATCGGCCATTCTCAGGTCCAAGAACCTTGAACATAATTTAGTTGTACTTGGCATAATAGTTTTCTACTTTATAACAGTGACGTGAGACATCCTTGCCAAGTCACTAACATGCACAGTGCTTCAGGCAGGTCCTTAAGCTAACAATAGGGATGATAAGAGAAGTCACCAACGCTCAAAGACCAGAAAGCACGAGCATAAAGAGTTATGACACGTTTAGAACCCAGAATTATATGAACAGGCAGCGTAAAACATCCACTAAACAGTGACATGGTAATTGCCAAAATTAGGCTGGGATATTGATATCTGTGGCAGGTGGCTGCAGGTTAGGCATCCGCCAAAGATGAGCATTTCAAAAGTAAACTATGTGAACAAGAGCTGGGACACACACTCCAAGACTATTAGTGAGTGCCCTGTTATCAATAACTTCAGACCATAGGTATGAGGTACTTTGAGCTCTAACTATATCAAACACTCGCTTATATTTGAAAATACAGTATTCATGTGCTCTACCCTTAGTTTGCTAATGCAGACTAACAGATCAGCCTTGCATTTCATGTTCTCTCCTAATTCCATGCATGACTGATTATCCTGTGATATGGGGATATTAGATGAACTTATGACTAGTTTCTGATCTACACTTTGTAACCTTTCATATAGAATAGGATAGCAGCACATTACTGTGTACACCTAAGCTTCTTAATAAAACAAAAATAAATTAAAAAAAAAACTAACAATAAATGTAATAATAGGTACAGTGGAACCTTGGGTTACGAATGTAATCCGTTCCAAGAGACGGTTCATACACCCAAAATTAGTAAACCGAAATGAATTTTTCCCATAATACAGGTAATATAAATTTAATTATTCCGTTCCACACACACCCAAAAATATTAACTTCAAAATACATTTTATACAGAATACTACTATTTTTTACTACAGTATACCTTACCTTTGAGGACCGTTGTTGGTGTATGGAAGATGATGATGATGGGGGGTGGGGGGGTGGGGGGGGAGGAGGAGGAGAGGTGTTAGTGTTTGGATAGGGAAGTCCCCTTCCATTATAACATCAGGCAAAGATGACATTTTTGTGGTACTCTCCTATATTTTGCAGGTATACACTAGGACCTGGTTGTGGCTCACTGCTTGCTTGTTTTACTAAGAATCTGTCTATAGACACTTGTTTTTCCCTAAGTTTGTCTGTAGTGAGGCAACATATATCACCCATGACATGATATATAATAAGAACTTATGTTCAGGAGAGAAAGAAAAAAAATATAGAAATCAAATGCGGTCGTCACTAGGCAGGATACACTGGTAAACTGAGCATGCATCGCCCCGTGTGCCGAGCAGAAACCACACACTCGACCCATACATGTATCAACAAACTTGTAAACCAAGGCAACCTTCATACACCGAGTCAAATTGAAAATTGACTTTGTATACAGTACTGAAAAATTCGTAATCCGGGGCTTTTGTAAACTGAGGTTCCACTGTACAGAACATTGTAACAATTTGAATTTAACACAACTACTAAATAAATTTATAAAATTTATTATACTGATGATGATGATGCATATCTTAAGTACTGTACTAAATTGTCTAAGTGGTTAGTACAAAACAGTGAGAGTAGCACAAGTTGGTAAACTATGAGGATGAAATAAGGTACTTTTTGGTTCTATGTTTGAATAAAGTAAAGGTTGAACAATTTTTTAATTCTTTAGAGAGTGAGCTCCATATCCTAGTACTGGGTCCTTTTATTTGCATAGTGTGATTGCACAGGTTCAGTCTGACTCTAGGAAAATCAGATATTTATTTCTGATGTCATGCCTATGAGTTATTATATCTATCAAGCAAGAATTTCAAATTAGGATTAGAATGTTATGTCAGGAAAAGGAATCAGGAAAAAATGTTTTGTAAGTGTAAATAGCACAAGAGAATGTGTGAAGTATGTTCAGCATACACTGCTCCACATTCATACACTGTTGCTGACACAGCAGCAGCATCTGATGTTGATCTGCATAATGTGATCAAAGTGGCATCAGGAAACCCAAACCCTAATAATGAGGGATTTTAACCCATTAGACCATAGATTGAGTAAATCTAACATCACAAGCAGAGGGAGAACAATTGCTAGATCTGGTTTAGGACTCCTCTCTCTCACACAGCATGTGGTAGAGCCCACATGTAACAGCATACTGTACTAGATCTTGTGCAAACATCAGAAGACTGTATGACTGATTAAATTCAGGTAGGGGAAAAGCTAACCCCTCATGTGATCGCCATATTTTAAAAACTACAAATATAAAAACCCACAAAGGTTCATGATGATGAATTTCTAGATTACCATGGAATTGATTATCAAGGAATGAGAGAGGAACTGCAAACATCTCTTGGAAGGAGCTAATAGGGGAACATGACATGGAAGCATCTTGGCAAAACTTTAAGATCATTACGAAACGTGTTCAAAAGTATGTGGCAAAAAGGAGGAAGAACTGAAAGGGAACTAGATAGACGACTCGGGCAGTAAAACAAATATTGATAACTAAGAGGAACCTCTTGAGTACGTATAAATTCACGATGGATATCATTGATTATGCAATATATATAAGAGAGCACTAAACTCGGCCACCTAGGGAATCAGATCAGCTAAAAGGCACTAGAAAGAAAACTTGCCCAAAACAAAGATCCAAATTTGTTCTATGCCCATAATAAGAGGTATAATAAGAAGTACAGTAAAACCATAACAAAGGACTTTGTAGGACCTTTAAAAGATGAGTAACAAAACTATAATGTACGGCAAAAAGGCAACAAACACTAAATTAATATTTAGTGTTCACACATCAGTATGAACACATCAGTGTTCATACTAGAAACATTAGATGGCACCCCATCACGCCCATAAATGTTTCAAGGTGAAGAGAATTAATTTAGGAATATAACAACAGGGCAGAAAAAAAGGGTCCTAGGAGGCAAACTGAAGGCGTTAAAAAACAGAATACAAAAATGCACAGCTAAAGATTAGGAGAGGGCAGGGTATCCAGATTGCAAATGGGGCAGAAGTCTAAACCCTTTACCTAGTCAGGCAGAACTAAATCTATGCATCTCGGAAAACAAACCAGTTCAGAACCAGAGCGGAAATGTACAGAATAGTATGTGCTAAATATAGGAGCAATCTCTCGGCCCTTTCTTCCTAAAATAAGAGAGTGGAGAGGGAGGAACGTCCGGGAGGACGGAGCGACGTCCGTCTCCTCTGAGCGCTGGCAGGTGACTGATTGAGCCCAGCTCCTGACGGCGGAGGACCCTCCCAGTGTGAGTGAGGACCGCCAGGCAAGGCGGAGCATGGACCAGCCCAAAACGGGGAAGTCCACTCTCACAGTATGTAGAGAGCAGATAGATGTTGGAGGCAAACATATTGTGTGGTTATTTTTGTTTGTGTGTTTAACCCTTAAAGTACGCATCACTTCATATGAAGTGTAAATCGTTTTACCAGTCAACTGCGCTTCACTTCATATGAAGTTTATGGGTACCGCGCACGATTTGAATGGCCCGCGGTGTAGCTGGGGGTCCCATACGCTGCCCAGGGGCTCTAGTAAACAGCGGCCATTTTGAAAAAAATTCCCGCTCACGATCCGAAGGCATGGGAGGCCTCAGTTTAGCAAGAGTCACCATGGCGAGCGCACGGTCAAACGCCTCACAGGCACGCACCACTCAGTCCCTCACCCCAGAGCAAATAGCCCACGAATTATTCTCTGAAGGTGAAGAAAGTGTGTTTGACGATTCAGACAATGATGAGGATTATACACAGTTGTCGGGTGATAGTAGCAGCAGCAGCGAAAGTGAGAATGACCGCCATGCCATGGCGAGGCCTATACGCTCTCTCATGCCTCCTCGCCCATTTTCTACCCCAATTCTACCACGACCTCACAGTTCCTGTGGATATTTTCTGTTTGAGGGTGACGAGTCAGAGGGAGGTGACTCCTTTTCTGGGCTTAGTGACTCAGATCAAAGTTTTATTGAGCCTGTGGCTGGTACCAGTGGTGTAACTGGGCGAGAAATTGTCGCGTCAGCAGCATCTCGCCCGGCCAAGCGTCACCGCATGGCACCACATGAGGGACCAAGACCCTCGTGTTCACGTGCATCCACCTCACGTGCACCCACCACCTCACGTGCACCCACCAC